TCGCTCTCGCGGTCTGCCTCAGGACAGCCAGCGTTGTGCCGGCTGTTTCGTCCGTCGCTGCATCCGGAGGTGGCTGCAGAGCTACGAGCAGCGAGTCCGCGACCTTCCCCAAGCCGTAGCTGCCGCTTGCTTCGCTCTCCAGTCTGCGAGCCTGGTTACCGTTCCCACAGGACTCGAGGGCGTCCGCTCAGACCTGCCTTCGCCGCCGGAGAAACACCTTCCAGCGCACAGGCAATTGCTCCGAGTCGGGATGGAAGAGGTGCTCCCTTGGCCCGAGCCGCTCAGTATCCACAGATCAGCTCGGGAGAACAGAGCGGCAGGTTCTCACAGGATGCCCGCACAGACAGCAACACTGGGAATTTTACAGAGCGTTTCTCACCTCCTAGTAATACCAACAAAAGCGGCTCAAAGTAGCAGTCAGTTCGTTGATAACGTTTTCACACGTGGCAGTCAGAGCCGGTGTTGCTACGAAGCAGCGCTCCTACAGCTTTCGTTTAATGCTTTGAGTCATTACATCACTTTGTGCGGAGATGAGAGGAAAAGCCAGGAACGCATCACACGCCGGCTGCAGTTCTCGCTGCCCGCACCAGCCAGCGCTGTCAAACGCCCTTCAGATCCCGCCCTGGGATAACGCCTGGGTCCCAACGATACTTGGATCTTGAAGGTTTTCATTTTGGCTTGTAGACAAAAGCACTGCAACACCACAGCAATCGACGTAGGAAAAGTCAGCGGGACTGTCTTTGGAGACCAGAGCGCCAAATATTATCCTAGGCTCAAAACAAGTGTGTTTCAGTGAAACATTAAACTGTGAAATATCCCCCAAGCTTATCAAAGGCACCCTATGTATGTGCTCAGAGCTCCGGGCATACAAATGCTGCAAAAGGAAAACCAAGAAAAACAGGCAAATGTACAGACAAATACTTTATTAATTCCATAGCCTGAGAAGGATCTGGGACCTCACACAAAATGCTGGTCCCAGTCACGACAACATACAAAGGCCCCAGGCTGGGCAATCAGCCCAAGGGAGAGGCCAGCTCCTCCACGAGACCCAGCGCCGGGCTCAGAGGCCCAGCTCTGCCCACAGGCAATACCGCTGTCCCGGCTCGCTCATCCCACGCGAGTCACAGGCATCACCGGCTCTACCGGGCAGCGATAAGCAGCTCAGTCACTCGAGCCCACGCAGCGGCACCCGTGCTGGCTGGGGGAGCCCAGGCCAGAGAGCGAGCTCGCTCCCTGGCCCCATTAGCACAGCACAGACCGTAAGGCATCAACCACCTCTGTATGTCACAGGGCTCTGCAGCACAGGCTGACTTGTCTGGCCACCGTCACCCCCTCATGGCTATGATACAGTCTAGGCACACTCTGCATTGCAATCTCAAGGGACAGGAAACAAGAGCAAGGAAATGGCCCAGCGGAGCGCTGGGACGTTCTGTGCATCCGAAAGGAGCTCTGAGGAAGAAACCCTCAGCGCCTCCATCTCCGACACCACGTCGGAGGAGAACAGCAGCGCTGCCCCTCCAGGCTAGCAGGGAGGCAGCTGGGCACCGCCGGGTGCAGTGCACTGAGCACTAAGGAGTTACACCACGACACAGCAGGGACGACATTATCTCAGTGCCCAGCGCACGCTGCCAGCAGCAGCCCCATCTGCAGTCCATTAGACCCTGCAAACGGCCAGGAAGAATGAACGATACTCTGAGCAAACCGGCTCCCCGTGCTCCCTGGCCTGGGAGGGACAGAGAGTTGGTCATTTCAAAAAATTACATCAAACACAATTTAATGGAAAAACAGAAAACTAAACACAAAACGAGTCCTAAAAGCTTCTCAGTTTGCCATGCACAGCGATGCCACCAGGACAGGCTTCTTCCTTCTGTGCATGTGCTTCATGTTTCCTACTGGTGCATGTGATACGTGCAGGGCTCTGGCTAGGGACGTGAACAGTTGAAAGGACTCTTGGGGATGCCTGAGCCACGTCAGCTAACCTGGCCTGGCTTTCACCAATTACTGGGCTGCCCGCGGGCAGATCTCACTCCAGGGGACATCTGAGGTAGCTACCATAACTCGTCTTTCACAGGATCAGTTACTGATGGATTCTGCACATGGCTACGTTGGATGTGGAGACCACCTGCAATGTGGAGACTGGGGCTTCCCTTTGCAGCAGCACGGAGTGGAGGGGGCGAGCCCAGCGTCACTGGCGTGCGTCAGGACGTCCCAGCTGACACCTCTGAGGTGGAGGAGGGGTCCTCACATGCCTGCTGCAGCAGTGCAGGGGTGCTAGGGTAATCTTACCTGTTAAGTATTTCCCAAGGGACTCTCCATCTATGCTTGTTGCTAGTTATAGGGGTATTAACCCTGTTACATATTTCCAGTTGTTGAAGGCTGGGCTCTTTGAAGGAAGTAATGCTGCTGGGGCCTCAGAAACACTCGCAGCATCCTTGCAAACAGAAAATATCGCAGTTTGATTCATTCTATTTATGTTCCGTTCTGGCTGTTGTATAACACGTCAAGCTCACCAATGCAATACAGATATTCTCAAACTGATCTGGCGTTTGGCAATAGGATTCCGTCACTGGGCTGGGTTATCAGACGAGCATGGCTAGGACAAGATGGAGCCTCAGAGATGCCAGGCCAACAGGGCAAACTGTTCTGCCAAAATGGCCCTGAGATGACAACACTGACTTCCTCCACCTGCCCCATAGTAAAGAAACTTTAGCAGTGAAATGAGCTCCTTGGGAATCCAGCTGGGCTTACTGTCAGGCTGATTCCCTTCTGTCTGTCTTCACTGTGCAATTTTATTTCCAAATCCAAGGGATCAGCTCCAACATCACGTAACGGGTGAGCTCAATTCCTGTTTGCAATTCCTCTTGCAAGAGCTGCAGAAGAAATATCTGATACTCTAGGAAGGTCAGTGTGTGTTAATTTCTTGCATCAGCCAGCAGACACAAGAGTCTGAGGAATGATAAAGCATTTTGTATCACTAGAGGTGTCTGTAATTTGCCCTCTTTGATGGTATCCAAGCTTTGATTCATTCTATAATTCAGAAAGCTCCCCAAATTCAGATTACAGATGGTTTACAACCCCAGTGCCCCACCACGTTCAAAATCTGTCTTGATGCTCACACTGTTTCTCTCTGGGGACACAAGCAGTTTGGATCTCTCCTACTGTCATTTATCAGTCACCCCCAAAACCACTGCCCTATTTCCTAGTCTTACAACAGGCTGGACTGCTCTCCCACCAAAGCAGCGGATTTGGCAGTGCCTGTCTTCAAGCATGAGATTTGCAGGACCAACCAAGAGAGCATCAGCTTTGGTTGCAGTGGGTGCAGGACTAACATCTCTCTTCGATTCGTGATTTAGTGAGCGAGGAACACCCTCTTCTTTGGGTACCCCTGGCGCTTCTCTTTGCTGGGGCTGCTTGGGCGCTGGCAGGACAGTCTTAGGCTGGGCTGCCTTGGGCTGCTGGACCATATCCAGGGCTTTCTGGCGGTCGTGTATTTTCTGGTGGCGCAAAAGGTGCGTTCTGCGGGTGAAGGATTTCTTGCAGTCACTGCAGTGATAGGGTCTGTCACTGGCGTGTGTCTGCAGGTGTCTCCGAAGGGAGAAGGGGCACGAGAGACTCTTCCGGCAAATACTGCACTTCAGCAGAGATTTCCCGTGAGTCCTCCGCCTGTGGTCTTGGGAGAAACGCGTGCTGGGCAGGCTCCTTGCGTCCAGTTCATTCTTTGCCTGGCCCAGCCAGGACTCCCCAGCGCGTGCCCTGTGATCCAGGCTGTGGGTGCCTCCATAGAGAGTCCCGCAGAACTTCTTCCTCGGCCGGATCCTCAACTCCGGATGGACGTTCCCCCAGACCTTGGCCCCAAAGGCCCTGCCTTCTGTGTGGATGCTCTGGTGCAGGTCCAGATGGCTTTTGTCTGCAAAGCTGATCTCGCACACTGTGCATTCATAGGGCCCCTCTTTGGCATGGCTCCGCTGGTGGATGATGAGGTTGATTTTCAGACGGAATCGCTTCCCACACTCTGTGCAGGGGTGTGACCACTCCCGCACGTAGCCCCGCCGACAGGTACCCATCAGCAGGCTGCTGGCTGCACACTTGTTTGGCTTCTTCTTGCTCTTGGGTTTGGCTTCCTCCTTTTTTGGGCATTTCTGGATCTCCAGGTCGGGCGAGGGTGTGGAAACCTCTTGCAATGCCTCGGGTTCCTCCTCCTTCACCTCTACTTTTCCAGGAGGAGAAGTCCTATCACATGCCGTTTCATTTTCCAGTGAAAAGCCTTCCTCTGCAATGGAATGACAATACAGGTATTAGTCATTCGTGATCTTAGGGCGATCCCAGGTTGTGGGTGAGCCCGAAAGCACTGGGCAGGCTTTTAGCAAAAAGGGTGCTACCAAGACATCTGAGAACAGAGCTTGGAAAGAGCACAGAGTCCTGCCCACATGCAGTTAAGTAACCTGATGTGCTCTCGGGTGAAGCAAATCTGGAGCTCCCAGGAAGTAGCAAGATCATGGTCTGTCACTGTGCAATTATGGCAGGGTTGTGCAAAGGGATCCACCTCTAAAACCACGGCACCAGTGACTGCCACAAGATGTAGCAGGAAAAAAGGATCACTGAGGAGCTAGTCTGCAGTACTTCCAGGCTCTTCACTTCTGTCACTCATGTGACTATCATTAAACACCAAAGGTTACAGGCAAAGCAACTCTAATGAGGACTGTGCAACTCTCAAGACTTCCGGTGACTACTCCACAATCCCTCCCGCAGCCAGGCAATTTAGTCTGCACAAGCCCTGCCCAGAACCAGTCCTGTTTATCTTCTGTGCGCTGTGCCTAGAAATAAACTCTGAAGTCCCTGGAAGAAGAACATGCTCTGCGCATTAGCTTGGCAAAGCTTCACCAACAGAATGGAGGGTCTCTGCAGACTGCCATCCCCCCTTCCTATATCCCCTACCCGCTCTGCTCCTGCAACAGAAGACAGGGCCTTATCATGGGAAGCTTTAGGCGATATAAGCTTGAGGTGAGGCAGCCAGCTCTACCGCAATGCAGCGAAGCTGGGAAGAAGGAAGCATGCTACTGCTGTAAACTTCCTTCTCCCTCCTCTCTGCTCTGCTCCGCTGCTGAGGCTCACCAGCTCCAGCCAGATCTGGGACCCAGGACTGCTCTCTGCTGCCCACTCTCCTCTTGCCCGGGCTGGCTTGAATGCTACCCTCCCTTTACCCTGCGGCACTGTTCTCCCCCAATTTCTGACAGAAGGATCCTAACTGCGGCGCTGTTCTTGCCGCAGATGGGTCTGAAACACCCTACCCAACACCAGCCCTCTTCCCTTACTAGGTGATAAAGGAGAGGTCTGAAAACAGCCTGGGTTGCTATGGCCATGCAACCCTGGCCTTCTCAGAAATCCCTGCATGTCTCCAGCTCCCTGTCTCTGCACACACCAAAAGAACTAACTGTAACTCATGAACCCTCCTGGCCAGAGCCCCAGCACTTTCCTCTCTGTCCCCATTTCAAGCACACTGGAGAGCTGGGAGACGCTATCAAACCAGAACAGCTGCTCCCTGCCTGCAGGACACCCTGTCTCCCATGCACAGGGTTACTCACTGGCACTGAATTCAACCGGGTCCTCTTTCTGCTCTGTCTCGGGCTGATCTTCCCTGCTCAACTCCTCTTCTTGTGTACTCAGTGACATGACATTCATCACCAAGATGGGGAGTTCTGTTTACAGAGAAGAGAACAGCAATTTTAAACACCCACAGAGAGCTTGTAGAGCTTCTCATATCTTCTTGCTTTGGTGCAATCCTGACTGGAGATGTACTGGAAATACAAAGAAGAGCCAGAGAAAGCTGCACCCATGAAGCAAACACATGCTCTTAAGGAAAGCATGTAAGGTGTTAGCAGGAACTGGAGTGAGCCACACGCAAGGTCCGAAAGCAGAGAGAGGTCTGAAATGAAAGTCACCAAGGTGCCACAGGCTGTCGCTTCTCCAGAGCAACCTCATCCCTATTGTGTTCAGGCCGTTGAACCCCTTCTACTTTCCCCAGTAACACTTCGACTCCCCCTGCCCCGCAACCCAGGACTTCTGCCTTGCCCTGGTAATGCTCCTCTAAGCACAGAGGCTTGCCGTGCTCTCTCCCACAGACACTGCTGGGTGATCTCCAGAGAAAGATGGGACAGGAACTGCCCAGGGAAGCACGTCCGCATGGCATCCATGTAACTCACCTGTGTCAGCTTCCACGGGAGCTTCATCTTCTTCCAATGCTTCTTCCTTCCGGTCCATCTCTTCCGGTGGCTGCGGGGGCTCCTGACTGTCTTTGGCGCAGAGCTCTTCATCCCTCTCCATCTGGGACAGGATGTCAGGCTTGGACACAGCGTAGTCTGCTCACGGGACAGGAGAGCAGCGGACAGCACATTTTGTTAGGAATTGGCCAGACTTCTATTCTGTTGAACTCTCAAATGTTTTAAAGCGATCTTCCTTCCCCTAGCCCCAGAGCTAGCAGGCAATACAGACACAGACGCATCATCTGTGCTGTCACAGGCAAAACGGTGGCGCTGATTTCTTGCCCCTATGGAGGATTCACACACAAGGACAGCGGTAGCTCAAGTACAGAGAGAAAATCTAAATAATATGGAATGTGACTGGAAATCGCAAAGGAGAGGGAGAGGCTTTGTCTTTAGGTAACATCTTTTTTCCTCTCTTCTCTATAACACCTGGCAAACATCCTGCCAAATACACACTCGGTGTGAGCCATTCCTTGGTAACGCTTCTCAAAGGATAGGGCTTGCCTTGCCCTCTGCCCTGCCTGCCAGTGCTCACTCAGCCCTCCTGAAGCTTCTTAGCCCTCCAGCTCCTCACTCCAGCATGAAGGAGCTCTCAAATGCAGGTCTTCCTGTGAGCGTCATCTTCTCTTGGCTCTGTCAGGGCCTGTTTGTGGCTTTCCAATGTATCCCTCTTCCCTTGCCCAGCCTTCCCACTATGGCAATTGATTTTTGCAACTCTTCCATACCAAGTCTCAAAGCTCTCTGGACTGCTTCTGCTCCCCACAGCCCTAACGGAGCTCCTCCAGCCTCCTCTTCCCGTTGCTGCAGGGAGCCCAGGTTCCTCACTACCCAGCATGTCTCCTCTCAGCACAAAAGCAAGCAGGAGTGTCTGTGGAAGACCTAGGGCTGATGCATGCAACCAGGTAGAGGATTGCAGAATTGCACAGAAACAGCTGGAAGGAATCACAAGAGGTCTGTCCCACTGCTCTAAACTTCATCCCAGCCCTTCCTAACATGTTTTGTCTGCTTTCCTCCATGGGAATCATCTGCCCAAACGTTAACGTTCCTCTCGGAGGTAAGATTCCTCTGCACTCCATGGAAGTCTAGTCAATGACAGTACAGACTCTGAGCGGTTCCTTTCTCTGCAACACAACACTGCTGGGAAAGAGAGAAAGATGGGACAGGAACAACCCAGGGAAGCACGTCCGCATGGCATCCATGTAACTCACCTGTGTCAGCTTCCATGGGGGCTTCATCTTCTTCCAATGCCTCTTCCTCCCAGTCTTCCGGTGGCTGCGGGGGCTCCTGACCGTCTAGGACACACGTATGCGGGGGCTCCTGACTATCCTGGAGACGTGTCGGTGGGGGCTCCTGACTGTCTTTGGCGCAGAGCTCTTCATCCCTCTCCATCTGGGACAGGATGTCAGGCTTGGACACAGCGTAGTCTGCTCACGGGACAGGAGAGCAGCGGACAGCACATTTTGTTAGGAATTGGCCAGACTTCTATTCTGTTGAACTCTCAAATGTTTTAAAGCGA